TACCATTCTTTTTGAATAATCAATTCTAGCTGCAAATCAGTACTTGGCATAATAGAATATTACAAGGGGCAATCAAAGAGGAACTTGATCATCCATTGGTGTTGACCTGAATTAAGACTACTTCACAACCTTGTGAATCTGGGGCAGGTCTTTCTGAGGTTCAAGAAGGGGCATACCGCTACAAGATTCAAACATTGGGGCATATGGACTTATGCTTTGACTTGGTACAGTCACTCCCAAAGTTTTTATCCCAGAAGAAATCTTTCAGATACCCGGCAGACTGGGGAAGACCAGTCGAACTGGGGCAGACCATTTGAACTGAGGAAGACTAGTTGAACAGGGGCAGTTTCCGTCCATACTTTCAATTTAGTCAAGCTGACCATGCCAGACACCAGTAATTGTTGAGGTCAACAAGCATCAAAAGCCTTAGGGCTGAGCAAAAGCACGACTAATACGCATTGGTTAAGTCGCTACGCTCGCGCAATCCAAACGCATTGGTTAAGTCGTTACGCTCGCGCAATCCAAACGCATTGGTTAAGTCGTTACGCTCGCGCAATCCAAACGCATTGGTTAAGTCGCTACGCTCGCGCAATCCAAACGCATTGGTTAAGTCGCTACGCTCACGCAATCCAAACACATTGGTTAAGTCGCTACGCTCGCAAAGTCAACATGATTTGGATAAGTCGCTACGCTCAATGTTTGTAAGCTATCACGACATATCAGCTGGAGGTTCTTACAAGAACAAGTAGACCACTTCTGCAAAAGGATCCAACTTGGGGCACCAAGAAAATCCACATCTGTCTTTTGCTCGTGGCGCTGTCATATACTGTGTGTCGGGAAGTCTAATCCTCTCACCACCCTGCAATAAAAGTCCAATCTCGCTTGGCACATATTTAAAGTCCAATCTTTTATTGGCAACTACAAAAGCCACTCCAATTGGCACCTTCAATTCACCCTAAAAAGCCCAGTCTTCATTGGCAACCACTAAAAGTCCACCTCGATGGCATCCCCATAAAACCAAAGTCCAATCCGTTTGGCAACTACCAAATCCAGTCCCTGGTGATACCCCCGACAAGATTTTATCCCTAGCATACCTGATCACGTGCATTGTCATAAGCATACAACGTCATATCATAATCATATTAAGCACATCACTTGCATACGCATCTTGCATTCCCTAGCAGTTGCATTTTTAGTCGCATATTTGTGCATCATAACGCATAATATCGTTATCCCCATTAGCATTACGTGGCATGACAGCATAGCAGGATCCAGGATCGGTTCACAAACATCTTGGCCAGTCCCCCAGTGAAGTTGGCAGTATGACTCTGAAAAGAGTTAATACCCCACGAGTTCAGAGAATTCTACTCGCCAGAAAGTCATTCACCAACCATGCAGTTGATGATGATAATCCCCAACAACTATTGCTCTGGTGGCTCCCCAAGCAGAGGTTCTCTTAAAACGTTTCTTGAAGGCTTGCCCTGCAGAGTTTGCACAACGTCGTTCCTCCAATAGGAATTTTGGCTCAACTATTCCCCAACAAATTTTAGAGATACTGCTTTGGCATCATCGAAGAATCTTATTGGATAAGAGGCTGCTTCGACCACCCAAAGAATCTCATGTGTTTAGAGACACCACTTTGGTATCGCGAAGGACCTTAACGAATGAGGGACTGCTTCGACCACCCAAAAGAGGTTCGTTTATACCTACTTTGGTATCGCGAAGGACCTTAACGAATGAGGGACTGCTTCGACCACCCAAAGAGGTTCGTTTATACCACTTTGGTATCGCGAAGGACCTTAACGAATGAGGGACTGCTTCGACCACCCAAAGAGGTTCGTTTATACCACTTTGGTATCGTTAAGGACCTTAACGAATGAGGGACTGCTTCGACCACCCAAAGAGGTTCGTTTATACCTACTTTGGTATCGCGAAGGACCTTAACTAATGAGGGACTGCTTCGACCACCCAAAGAGGTTCGTTTATACCACTTTGGTATCGCGAAGGACCTTAACGAATGAGGGACTGCTTCGACCACCCAAAGAGGTTCGTTTATACCACTTTGGTATCGCGAAGGACCTTAACGAATGAGGGACTGCTTCGACCACCCAAAGAGGTTTGTTTATACCTACTTTGGTATCGCGAAGGACCTTAACGAATGAGGGACTGCTTTGACCACTCAAAGAGGTTCGTTTATACCTACTTTGGTATCACGAAAGACCTTATTGGATAAGGGACTGCTTCGACCATCCAAAGAGGTTCGTTTATACCTACTTTGGTATCGCGAAGGACCTTAACGAATGAGGGACTGCTTCGACCACCCAAAGAGGTTCGTTTATACCTACTTTGGTATCGCGAAGGACCTTAACGAATGAGGGACTGCTTCGACCACCCAAAGAGGTTCGTTTATACCTACTTTGGTATCGCGAAGGACCTTAACGAATGAGGGACTGCTTCGACCACCCAAAGAGGTTCGTTTATACCACTTTGGTATCACGAAGGACCTTAACGAATGAGGGACTACTTCGACCACCCGAAGAATCTCAAGTTTTGTTTGAGATACTGCTTTGGTATCATCGAAGAGCCTTAATGGATAAGGTACTGCTTCGACCATCCGAAGAATCTCATGTTTTGCTTGAGATACTGCTTTGTATTCATCGAAGAGCCTTAATGGATAAGGTACTGCTTCGACCACCCGAATGATCTCAAGTTTTGTTCGAGATACTGCTTTGGTATCATCGAAGAACCTTAATGGATAAGGTACTGCTTCGACCACCCGAAGAATCTCATATGTTTAGAGATACCATTTTGGTATCATCGAAGAACCTTATTGGATAAGGGACTGCTTCGACCATCCAAAGAGGCTCGTTTATACTACTCTGGTATCGCGAAGGACCTTATTGGATAAGGGACTATTTTGACCACCCAGAGAAGGTCAGATTATCTTGTTCAGCTTTCGCATCCTGCTACCTCGTTCTAGTATATCTCACTGCAGTTTACTTGCTTATCGGACAAATTTCGGGGTCTTTTTGTATCTAATTGACTTTCACCTTAAAATGAACGTCGTACAGCAGTTCATTCGCTCAGGTTTAAGGCAATTAGATAGGGGCATCTGTCATACCCCAAATTTGTCCTACTTTGGTATTTAATAGATGTCCTACTGCCACATGACTTCTGGCCATGACTCTATAAGGTTTCGTTATAAAGACCTTGCGTATACTCATTGTGGTGATAATCCATGGCAATTTATGCTGAACTATTGTGGGAGGAGCGCGCCTCCAGCCCCTTGTACCCAAACTCGTGTGTGCCCTCGTTCTCACGATCAGACATATATGATAGGGACAATGACGTCAAATACATGATTGGATCTACCTCGCAACATGACTGTTGGTTTTCAATAAAATTAAACCCTATTTCAATTAGGTTACAAAATTCTTTAAAGGCTGTTTAAACCTCACTACGAGTTGCTTGTACAAGTTACTTGCTACGATATGCACTTAACACAAGATACTTCACATGTTGCTGCTAGACATGGTCGATTTCGCCTCAAGCGCCATTTGATTACAAGTGTCGGGTTATAATTGAATTCTAAATCAGTTTGTGACAAACTTAGATTTAAATTGCAAATTTCAAAACATATTTTGGAAACAATTCCTAAGCCTATTTTTCATATAATATCTCAGGATGTCCGGTTATACTTCAAGTTTTGCCAGTAAGGTTTTAGGTTGTGTAGGAGGCACTTTGACCCTTCCTATGGGCTATGTATGAGAATGTCAAAATATGTTTCAAAGCCATTTTCCGAGAAGAGTTTCATCATTTTTAAGACTAAAGCCACAAGCCTTGTGTCCAATGTTAAATGGTGCTAGCCACGGGGTGTTTTAGAAGTCAAACTAATAGCAAAGCCTGTTAATAGCAATGTGTCATATAAAATGAATTTGAAGGTTAAAACGCAAACGACACGCAGGCTTTTTACGGTAATATTGTTCAATGCCTGGTTAACTCAAAATAATGTTAAAATTTATTACAAGAAAAGAGTTCTACTGAGTGATGAAATAGTAAAGCCAAGAGAACCGAGGTATTACATTAAATTTGGATATTACAATATGCATTGTTTAGTATCACAAGCTTTAATGACTAGAAGAAAGGAATAAGTGAGTCCATGAAACTGAAGGTTCTCATGCCAATTTCTTTTTTTTCTTCAAAGCTCCCCGAAGTCAAAAAGGTGCTAATCCTTCACGCCTCGAAGGTTGCTCTGCAAGCCACATCCTCTTCCCTCCTTGAAAGACACAATGGAAGACACATCACAAGAGTGTTTAATCCGGAGTTACCGCGCCGCTCTGCATTAGGTGAAGGCCAATATCTGCAGAATTGTAAACAAAAGTATAATATCATTAGCAGCGCATCCCGCATAAAACATAAGTTTCGACAAAAATAACTTGAGTAAAGATATATGGAGCACCACTTTTGATGAATTGTGATGAAGGAATGTGTGTGTAAATAGAATCTATGTTAAGCAAGGGACTTTCAACAGATATAAGGAAAATAACAAACTGATAACATAAAAACATTGGATGTTTGAGCATTTCATGCGTGAGAATCATCACCAATTAAGTGTTGTGGGGAAGCTTACGTGAGAACTACTTAAGCCATCGTACAAAAGATCTGACCACAATTTTCCGGCATACGCTCTTTCTTGAATTGAAGGATTAAGATGAGAAGTAGTGTGTACATCTTATTTCGAAATATTGTAAAGCTCATGAGCGCCCGAACTTGTTGATTGTTCCCTTGGCCAACTCCACACTCACTCCATGTTTCTTTCTTCCCCAGTTCGTTTTTGCACCGTGCCGAGTTCAATTTTGTTGTAGCTTATTCAACGACACGTGGCGATCTGAAACTTCTTCAATTTCCAATTTTTGCTCCAAAATCTCAGAAATGAAATGAGGTTTGAAGGGTTGTGCTGGTTTTAGTTTTAGTTTCAAGGGTTTTGTGAAGTTGTTTGGATGGAAGCAAATAAAAGGGAGGCACTTAAAGCGATAGAGAATGCTAAGAAAAGGTTTGCTCATAGAGATTTTGTTGGAGCGAAAAGTTATGCTTTAAAAGCCAAAACATTGTGTCCTGGATTGGAGGGTATATCTCAATTGGTGACCAATTTTGAGGTTTACATTGCCTCTCAAGTCAGTTGTAATGGTGAACTTGATTGGTATTCCATTATGGGTTTAAAGCCTTCGACAAATATAGAAGCTGTGAAGAAACAGTACAAGAAGATGGCTGGGTTGCTTCATCATGATAACAATAAGTGTGTCGGAGATGATGGGGCATTTCATCTTGTTTCTGAGGCATGGTCCAGGCTCTCTGGTAGTTATGATATGAAGAGGAATGCACAAGTGGGTGTTGGGCATGGATTTAATCATAATGGGTTGTCTTCCGCACGTGCCTCAGATGGTAATCAGGAAACTTTTTGGACAATTTGTACTTCTTGCAAGGTTCAGTATGAGTATCTGCGCAAGTATATAAATAAGAAACTTTCTTGTAAAAATTGCCGTGGGATTTTCATTGCTGTCGAAACAGCCCCAGCAAACGGTTCCTTCCCTTATTGTCCTTGGTCGTATGGGTCTAGCAGTGGTTATGGAAGCCATTCGTATGATGGAGTTTCGTATCCTCCCAGTAATGGCACCTATTTCAACGGCAATGGGGTTACCGGATACCATTCGGCACACGGGTATGAGTATGTTTCTAATGTTCCATATCAATTGAACTCTGCTGGATATGTTAATCAAAATGGATCATCTACTACTTGTGAGGCCAATGGGAATGTAAAGAGGGGAAGACCGAAAGTTAATTCAGAAGCTGATATGAAGCATTGCATGACAAAGACATTGGTTAATATAAACTCAGTTGTATCATTCTCCCAGAATGAACCGCAAGAGGTTAAGCCCAGTAGACCTGAGAAGAAACGGAAAGTTCTTGGAGCCAGTTTAAGAAATGGGCATGAAGGAAAGGGTTCAAAATGTGCTTCAGAGTCAACATTGGCTAATGGGAATGGAAGCGTTGGGCATGGCCAGAAGCTTTCCAGTACATGTGAAGTTCCAACCAAACAATATTCCATGGCACCAGCTTTCGATGCAAGAAAATTGTTGATCGAGAAGGCCAGGACAGAAATAAGGAAAAAACTGGAAGAGATGAAGTTGGCATCTGAAGCTGCAGTTGCAGCTAATGAGAGAAAAAATCTCAAGCTGATGTTGATCAGGTCGAAGGAGGTGCATACATTAAAGCAGGTCTTAATGTTTCTGATAATCAATTAGAACTTAGGAAAACTGTTCCAGTGACAATTACTATCCCAGATTCCGACTTTCATGATTTCGATAAAGATAGGTCAGAGCCATGCTTCAAACCAAAGCAAATATGGGCCTTGTATGATGAGGAGGACGGGATGCCCCGCTTGTATTGTCTGATCCGCGAGGTTGTCTCTGTCAATCCATTCAAGATTAACATTTGTTACTTGAGTTCGAAAACTGATAGTGAGTTTGGCTCAGTAAACTGGCTTGTTTCAGGTTTCACGAAATCCTGTGGAAGTTTCAGGGCCATGACCTCTGATGTTGTCGACCAAGTTAACATTTTTTCCCATGTTCTAAGCAGGGTGAAGGCCGGTCGAGGCGGTTGTGTTCGCATATATCCCAAATGTGGAGAAATTTGGGCTGTTTACAGAAACTGGTCTACAGATTGGAGTCATTCTACACCAGATGAGGTAAGGCATCAGTATGATATGGTGGAGGTACTGGATGATTATTCTGAGGAGCTTGGTCTTTGTGTTAGCCCCCTTATTAAGTTGGATGGATTCAAAACCGTGTACAAGAGGAATGCAGACAAAAGTTCCCTTAGATGGATACACAAAAAGAAGTACCTCCTTTAAGTTTTAAAAGGAAGAGGTTGGAACTGACCGAGCATCAAAGGGAAGTCAGTGGAGCCCACTTTGCAAGTGATTCAAAAGGTGTCTAGTGGAGAGAGCTTGTCAATGCCATGTTTGTATAATGACTTGTACAGGGCAAGACTTACAATTAAATTTGGCCATGGCAATGATGCACGTAAATGTGAACCATTCTGGAAGGTGATAGACAAACATTGTAACCCTCTTTTGTGTCATCCTCTTTACTCGGCTGCTTACTTCTTGAACCCATCATACCGATATCGTCAGGATTTTGTTGCGCATTCTGAGGTAGTACGAGGGCTGAATGAATGCATTGATCGGCTAGATCTAGATAGTTTGAGACGAATATCTGCATCAATACAAATTGCTCGTTATAATTCTACACAAGATGATTTTGGAATTGAATTGGCAATTAGCACAAGAACAGGTCTTGAACCAGCTGCTTGGTGGCAACAACATTCAAGAAAGTATCCTTTGAGTTTAAGAAGATTGTCCAATATATAATATAGTGCCACTGTTACGTAATGGCTAATAATGAGTGGACTAGTAATTACCTTGAAGATATACTATCAACTGGTGGCGGTGCTTCTAGCACTGTCAAAAAGCAGCTAAGGGTGGCAGCTGCTGCGAGAGAAAGCGGTAATCAGTTTCAATCCAACTAAGTACTTTGTGGGATAAGAAAATCATGACGTTTCCTCTGTACCTGCTATCAAAGCAAGATTGGATAAATGATTCAAAACGCGAAATCACAAGATATACACATTATGTAATGTACATTTACAATAACACAAGAGCTGCCATGAGTTTTCAACAGCAATCGTCAGGTTCATAAAGGAAAGAGTTGAAGAAAATTATGCGAGGAATATAACAATGGTCATGATACCTGCTGTATACTTCAAAGAGCATAATTAAATTGCTCCACCGTTTATATGAAAATGCCAAAAAAAAAGGCTCTTAGGCTGTTATGTGATGCAACAAGAAGTCAAAAAAAAAGGGGGGCCGGATAGCTATCACAGGTTATGAACAAAAAACCACAAGATTCATAAGATTAGTTTCTCACGTGAGTAATCCTTGTGTTGTGCCTTATATGGAACGTTCACCGCTCTCGACCTTGCCTTCAAACTGTAAGCGAAATCCTCATTTCTCAAGCTGCAAAGAATCAGATTCTCTCAGTGGCACATGCTAAAGGGAGCTTATGTAACTAGGGCGGTCAGCAAGTGTACTCCACCACTGCCATATCCTCAACACACACACGAGGATTTCCTTAATACACCTGCAGAAACAAGTAGATACGGTTCATTACGGCTATGAATAAAGCAACACTGTTATTGATAGTCTTCGGAAGCATTGAGCTGTACCTAGTAAGTTGAAGCACTCCGGGATAACATGTCTTCGAAACCAATTCTCAGACTCTTCATTAAGCGCAAGAATCTCCACAGTGCCAAATCTCAATTGAATTCATCGTTCTCTCTTCATCTTCATAATTTTCCTGCAAGAGAATCAGAGAAATAAAACACCATTATCACCGAGCTTCAGTTCAAACTCTTCAAACTAAAAAGCCTGCAGTAATGTAGACGAAGCAATGCCACAACACAGGCAAATGTCAACAGGACAGACATACGTCAAATAAGAAGTTGGTTGGTTAAGATACAATTAACAACGACATTATCCTAAGGCTTCCGACCTAAAGGATGCTGTTAGAGGAGATGCCATTTCCCCGGATACGAAAACAAGAATCCATTGTCTTCATGGCATTTTTTGTAGCATTTTCAATATCGTATGATCGTATAACCTGCAAGATAATTCAAGGATGATTAAACCACAGGATCCTGGGCAAGAAACATAACCCATTACATTATAACAAAACAAAGAAAACACTACTGTCAGCTTGGATTCAATGCAACCTGAATTCAAATTCTGTACCTCAGGTGATTACTGAATGGCGAATCATTGGGCCGACCAAGGTGGCTGTCCCACTAACTACTCAGTTGTTGTCCTTTCTGTTCTCTACTCAATTCTGCTTCGTGTATGGCCAATATTCCCCCTCCTAGTTCACAAAATGCCGCGTACTAAAGGAAGTAGTTTTCGGATACCTGTAATTCAAGTTGTTGTTAGTTTGAACCTTCTTCTATTAATTATGATGTCAACATAATTTATGGAACTTGAAGCAAAAAAAAACACAAGGATCATGGATAAACATTGTATAAATGATTCATAAAAAATCACTTGTTTCAAAGGTCCATGAGAGGCAAAGAAATCTGAGATAACAGGCAGCAGAAGGTCATAAGAAGTGTTCACCTTTGGTGATTGTTACTTACGTCAATCCGTCGAAACCGGCAACATGGCTTTATTACAAGCAATGGATGAACTTGCTGAAACTTTGAGCTTAAGTTGTCACCATGACTCCTAGACATTTAAAAATGGCACCCTGTATTATTTTCAACAAAAAAGGCCAGAAGAGCAAGTCATAATATTATCGTAGCTATATCATTAAGTTCAGAGCAGTGAAAAAAACATCTTTTACACAGTAAAAAAACTCAATAAAAGATATTTTGGGAGCTCACTATAGACAAAAATAAAGGTCACTGTCAAACCTCAGAAAAAGCAGAAATCATGGTGTAGCACTATAACAGAATTGTACAACCCAAAACGCACCTCACCTCACACACCTCACACGATACCAATTGTTTTCCTTCAGAAAATTTCAAATTTCTCATGTACTCAAAACCCTAAAACTCCCTATATAAATGCTCACTATTCACTTAGAAAGATACACGAAAAAAAACCCTAATGTTATTCTGTTGAAATCAATACCCAAACCCTCACAAAAGCTACAAGCAAGATTTCTTCTTAGAGATTCACCTTGAAACTCTAAAGAAGAGAAGCTTGGTCCTCATCAGTAAAAACGAAAGGAGCCGGCAGCAGTAGAGAAAAGAGTAGAAGAAACAGAGATAAGCCGTTCACATCACCTGAAGCAATAGTACATCGCTGAAGTCGGAAGCGGTTGGTGGAGATTTTTCTTCACTCCATTAGGGTAACCATTCTATTTCTCATTATGTTAAAGTCTTTGCTGAAATTCTTTTTACCCTGATATTCGTTGTGCGTATGCCGTAGAACTGTAAGATTAGGATTTGCATCTGTTCAGTTCATGTTGTCGCTATTGTAGTGTCGTTTTGAGCTGGAAATTGGGGATTTTGTTCCTGCGAGGACCATATTCTTCAGCTCGTTTGAAATCCTCCATGTTTGAGAGTGGAGTTGAGAACTGAAAGTAGGGGTGGATCGTATGGGGTTTCATTTCGGTTTTTCGTTAGGTTTTGTTTTACATAGATTTGAGTTTGGGTTTTGTTTGTTTGAAAGAAAAATAAGGATCTGGAAATGTTTGAATTTCAGAGGAAGAGAGGATAAAGTGTTAGTGACTATTTGGTTTAACTAACTTTCAGTAGAGTATAACGGGGTTATTGTAGAAATTAATTATTGATTAGAAATCTTAGTAATATCATTAATACTACTGTTTTTTTTTAGATTTATTTATAAATTGTGATAATTACTTTTTGTTTTATAATTTGATTTTATTTAAATTACTATTTAAAATTTTATCAAATTTATTTCTTTTTCCTTCATTAAACTCAAAACATTTTATTCGTTTTTAAATTAGGATAAGTAAAAAAATCTTTTTTTTGAAATAACGAAAATAGTGAGCTCTTGGAGTCGGGCACTCCTTGAGTCCTTGAACAACTGTTCTCGAGGCGCACGCCCTTGAGTTGCGGTTGTTCCATTTTTCGATTTTCAACTTGTTACTCAATCTAATTGAAATTTCTTAAAGATATTTTAATTATTCTTAGATATTTTTATAAAAAATTTCAAATTATTCTTTTAAAAACACATTTCAAAATTATTACCAAATTAATATTTTAAATATTAAAACTTTTCAAAATTATACTTTATTTAAAACCTATTTCTTCTCAAAGATATTAACTTTTTCAAAACAATTAATTATAATAGTATTTTAAGTATTAAAAAGCTATACTTTATTTAAAATTTTTCTAAAATATTAAACTTTTCCCAAATCAAAACTTTACAATTGATTAATTAATTTTATAAAAATTAAGACTATTTTTCTTAATTAAATTTAAACTCTTTTTCTTAGGTAATTTCAAAACAATTGAGTTCTTGGATCTCGCTTTCCTTGAATTTTTTTTAAGCAACCGCTCTCGAGGTGCACACCTCGAGTTGTGACCCTTTCGATCTTATTTTCTAGAATACATAGCGCGCCTAGTCCGAGTACGCTAATATTTTTAAACTATTTTCATAATTAAATCAAGAAATAATTGAGTTCTTGGAGTCGCGCATTCCTCGAATTCGAGAGTGACTACTATT